TTCACCCCGTGAGTGTCGTAAGAGCCGACTAAGGGAACAAACCACGCAGGACAACAGCACTTCAAATACAACGAAAACTTGACACAAACTTTATACCAAACCGTTTGGCCAGCGTGGTGTATTAGGGTAAACTCTCCTTTCTAAGGAGAGGGCAGAGGCCTATGTCCAGCAGTGGATTACTAAAGGCTGTTCATAATGATCATGATTGATGAGGTGTGCCTATAATATTTGAAGGATTCTCTGCAGTATTCCATGATGAGGTTCATATCGAATAAAAGTTTTTGACATTGCATGAAAGTAATATTAATAATTATCGCTTAGCGAGATTTAATCAAATAACTCAACGATGATCTAAGAATGTTGAGGTACATTAACCCAGTTCTAGTTTAATACCTTTTCACTTTCGTTTGTTTTCAAAGTTGCCCTGTGAGAAATACATTTAGTTTTATGTCATACGAAGAAAGCATTCTTGCGTTTTGACCGTCAATTAAGTAAAAGTACTTTTAGAAGAGCGTGCGAAATAATGTTTCGGTGTTTGTGTGTTGAATTATATACTTGTAAAAACAAAAGGGATCGACATATCTAAGTGTACATTGGCTTACAAGTAGAAGGAGGTTTTTTTTAGTATAATATATCCATACCATCTCCATCCCAGCGTGTGATTAACAGCCGGTGATTAAAAATCTAGAAAATAAAAGTTGACCGAGCTTTGGAGCTACGGTTTAAAACAATAACATTTAGTGTTCCTTTTAGCATTAGTCTAAAATGTTAATCCGACTTTTCCTTTTGTGGCAATTAAGAGTTTTATATCATAACAAGTTCTACGCTACATCATCATCATCATACTAGTAATTATTTACTAGTATGATGATGATGATGTAGCGTCTTAATTTAGACATTATTGTCTAAATGAAGAAATAATTAAAAAAGGAGGTGTCTAAAGTCAGGAGTTTTTGTTTTATCCCTTTACTTAACGATAATCACTATAGAATTCAATAGCTGTCATCATATTTGGAGAATGCAAACTGAGCAGAGATGTGCCTTTTGTTATATAATCCGATTGATGTATATATTTTTGTGGTTAAAGCGTAGTATAATAATGAACTTGAATCTGGTCGTAAAACCGGTTCCACAAGCTTTTATTGACAGTGATCATTTCACTTTCGTCTAAATCGGTAAAAATGTGAAGTTATAAAGTAAGAAAGGCAATTAATGTAAATCCGATACTAATTCACATTAACACTAAAAGTTTCCAGAGATAAAATTACCATTTTGGTAGGTAGTCAATTATTTATTCATCATTGGGCTTACACAACTGAGTATTGGCCGATTTTACTTTTTAACATGTACCATTTTATTTAAATTATGTACTCACTCGTATGTGGATAGAATGTAATAAGATTTCGAAAATCGAACGCAATACGAGCTCTGAATTAATCATTGTTGATTTGTTCATAAGCTAGTGCCAAAACATGTGTTTGTGCATAATAAACGTGATGGTTCTTAAACCGGCGCACCCCAGATTTAACTGCAACTTGAAACGTGTTGTTGCGCAATACTGATACATGTAAGATGCTGCAAATTATTCAGGTTGCACAAGAATATGCAAGTGATGGCGACATAAATATTTGTAACTGATGCGTAGTGGGTGTAGGAAAACGCAAAATAGAAAACATTGTTAGCTTTGTCTGCAAGAAATTCTCACGACATTGACCTCGAAGAAAATAACATCGACAAATCACTTTAGAAATACGAATGGTCGCTCTTCTCTTCTTCTTGAACTTATCTTATAGAATTATTAAAAATGCTGGTTTTTACATTTCTGAGGCTCTGACAAACGCAGTATCTAGATATTAAAAATATTTCTCCAGTTCGTTCAAAAAAATTGATATAATAGTAGGGTGTAACAAAGTGGAGCTCGTGGCAAAAGTGGTATCCGACACATTGCAAAGTAAAGCAATCCTAGCCAGGTCAGTTTATGGATGGGTGACCATTCTTAACACATTGAGACCCCTCCGTGTTCTCCGAGAACACGTTAAGGTCTCGGTTGCCATACGAACATCTGTGGTAATTGTAAAGGGTAGTTAGAGGCCTAAAAAGTTTATCAACAGTCTTTCTACAGATCTTCGATATCGCCTAGTACTTGGGTTGTGAAGGCCTGATAGAAGTCGCTCCTCGCAAAAAAACGATATTCAGCCATATCTCAGTAGACTTAAAGCCGACCCCAACCTAGTTTGGGAAAAAGGCTCGGAGTAGTAGGGTGTAACAAAATGCTAGTTGCATTACTTTTTTGACTTTATTTATTGCTATCACGGATATGAAGTCTTTTAGGGTCGACAAAGGGACCCTTGTTAATTTCTGATTATTACTCGTACTTAAAATTAGTTCCTTACATCCTACATATCTTAGTAAATTAGGCCAGAGCACGTTTAATTTGTAAGTGATTGTGACTTACATTTTAAATTTTAAAAAACAGTCTACAAATACGTAAGGAAAAATTAAAATTAAAATAAACCATAATTATTAAAAACATGTTACCATAATTGTACGCTTCTTCAGAATAAACTCTTAAAGTCTTAGTTCTAGTTTACTCCATATGATGCTAAAATTATCCGCTTATGGGTTTTTTAAATTATTTACATTGTAATAAAAGTTTCTCGTATAAAAATGTAGATCATAATTCAATTCAAAACGTGGCGTCTTCTGATCGCGGCCGTTGACGGTATATTATGAGAAAGAGAAAAGTGCAAAGAATGGCAACTCGTGGGAAGACTCGACAATGGCCTCGATATGTCACGAGGAGTGTTTCACTATATTTTCTAATTATTAAATTAAATATAGGATAGTTCTATTACCACACATGCCGCTGCGAACATGACATGTGGCATGGCGGTAGTGCACGTGCTTTCGACCACTGCCGCATAGTGCAAATATTTTGTCCATGACAAAAAATGGCTCTAAGTGTGTTTATAGGTATTCTAGAACACATAGAACTTTCTTTAGTATGGACATATGTTTAATAAATACTAATAGTGTGTCAATTAAGCTACTTAGAGGAGCAACGATAGGGCGCGGTATGAGGAGAGCGAAGTCCCCCTCTTGCCCGCGACATCTGCGCTAGTACTAGCCGGCTGCGCTTGCTAACCGGTATGTCGTGGGTACGCTCATTTAGGAGTGTCACGTACACCAGTTGCAAAACTTGAAACAAACCCTATATCAACCCGTCTGGCCAGCGTGGTATAGTAGGCCGAAACCTCCTTTCTAAGGAGAGACCTTATCCAGCAGTGGTCTATTACAGGCTGTTGATGATGATGATGATGATAGTTAAATTGGCAAATACAGGCAAATACTATGTTTACCTAGCTACCTACGATCATGATCATTTTTGTGACAACCCTTGCACGACTGAGACAGTCTTGTAGGTATTTAGCGGTTTATCAAAGGAGTTGACTTACTATTAGTATTTATTACACATATTGTATGGGTCTAGATGTGTAATAATATTACCAAGTAATCTTAAAAATGATAATTTGACATAATCAACAGTGACATGATAGATTAAACCGCTTGCCGTTGAGCTCGAATATTGTAACTCCCATGAGAGAACTATATATAAAAATACCTACTCTACAAATAATTAATTTTTAGGGTTCCGGACGTCAAAAGGAAGAAACGAAACCCTAATAAGATCTCTTTAATGTCCGTCTATCTGTGTGTCAAGACCTTTATCTCGGGAACGCGTGTAGGGAGGTATCGAGTTGAAACTAAAACCTACTCAGGTCTACAGTCCCTTGAAAATTTATGGAGTACTTCTCGTTATAATTTAAGGTATATCGTCTTATGCTCGATGTAAAGAGAAAAATCTGAAAACTATACATTCGTAATTTAATTATAAAAATGTAATCCTTATTTGAAGTAGGTACGTAATCAATCATCGAGGTAAAATTTCACTTATAAAACATAATAATATAAGTAATTAGAGGTTTTTAAAAAAATAATTTTGGGCTCGCAAAGCTCGGCAAAACTGCGAGACTCGATTCTTCAGCTATTTATAATATGTACCTAAAAATTTGTACGGAACCCTCTGTTGACGAGTCCGATTCGCACTTGTCCGGTTTTTTTTAGTCCGTGACAGTACAGTACAACTCTAAAACTGAAAGTTGTACTGTCAACTACTTCTACACTGATCGTTAAACGTCAACATTAAAATGTTGGGTTCCAAGTCATCATAAAAATCAAAGACCTATCTTGATACAGATTGGATTTCTTAACTAGAAGGGCAGTCAAGGTAATTTTAACAAAAACCGGAAGAATACGTCGCTTTGGATGGATGGACTTTTAAACTTTTACTCTAAAATCTGGGTGTACCTATGCTTATAACATTACTAGCCTTTGCCCACTGTTAGTTATTGCATTAGTAAATGTCAATTAGTAATAAACCTATTTAGGTATTGAAAAGTAAAAAAATAGTTGTCTAATTTATTGTCATTGTTGATAGAGAATATAATTCTACTAAGAGTTTAAAACCGATAAGTTAAAAAAAATGTTCTCTATACAAACCTGCACCCCCTTTTTAAGGGTAGTTTTGAAAAATTAGTTACAAACTTTTTTTTACTTTTAATAACAAGTATCTGCTATGAGTTAGAAAACGGTACTACCAAAAATAACGAAGTTTCATATAAATTTCTAACCCATTTTTTTTAATTCTTTCTTAGTGCACACCTACTTTACTTAAGTAAGATTTATGCAAAATTTCATGCTTCTAGACCCAGCGGTTTCAGCTGTGCGTTTTCGATCAGTCAGTGAACCAGTTTCTTCTTTTATACGTATGGATAAGCTTAATACTTTCATGAGTTTTTATAACAAATTGATCATGTTCAAATTGATAGAGTTATGGGTGTCTTGAATTATTATCATCATATAGCCTTTTAATGAATTACTTTGGATATTTAGACTACTTAATAGTAATTTATTTAAACAAAATAAATATTTGATTACAGATAATTCCGGTGTTGCTCCTGACACTGGCTACGAGATGTAGGTCCGATCATACAAATGGATTCAACGCCAACAACAACAACAGTCCATCACAATATGGACATATTCTGAAACCACCACCGCCGCCACAGCTAGCGTCTATAGTTCCTGTGCCGTTTCATTTAGGACCAGAGAGACATCAACGACACAACCCAAATGTCGGTTATCACTATCAAGCTCCCTCACCCCCACCGCCTCCTAGTGAATATAAATTCCCAGCACCATTTTATAAACAATATAATTTTAACTTTGTGCCACATCCACAACCATTCTCAACAACACCTTCACCATCTATGTTTCAAAAAATGTCCGAGTGGCTTTTTCCATCCCAAGAAACAAATTATGCACAATCAACTATATTTAAAAATAATAATATTGTAGCTCCTATTAAAAAAGATTGCAATCCTTGCAATTTAGTGCCATGGTTACCAGTAATTAGATACAATGTAGGAGCTAAAAATGTTTATCAAAATCCGTTATCAACTTATGGACCACCGAATCCTACTGCTTATGCTGATGCATTAAAGGTAGTGCAAAAATACCCCACGCCATTCAATCAGCAAAATTTAGGTACAAAGCCACCGCAATTAACGCCGGGAATCCCACATGCAAACTACGGCCCACAAGCCCAGAAGTTTAATAATGCCTTTGCTGAAACTGTCAGCTCTACATATGGCCCACCAAGCGTCACGCATACTATAGACACTTTATCACCCCATCCTCCGACTTCCACATTTTCGCAACCAAGTACATCATATGGAAACCCAAATACACCGTTGGTCTCATCCAATAACGCATTCAACTCCCACTTTTTATCAACCCATTCGCAAGAACTATCAAACAATGTGTATAACATACCGAGTTCTACGTATAGATCACCGTCTTCGTCATATGCAACACCGGCATCAGTATATGGTATACCATATCCTAACCCTCCCGTTACCCAACCCCTTACATATCTACCTGTTACTCCTCAATATGATCCTGGAATGCTTAATAAAGAACTACCGCAACAGGCTGATGTGGAATTACTTGAAAATGTTGCACCAATAGCAGAGCTGCAAGTTCCAAAATATAACAAACCGACCACGTTTAAGAATTCTTATGGGGAACCCATTACTAATACTCATTTATTTGATATATCTTATCCTATATCAGCAACTGCAGCAGAGTCATCTAAAATAAAAACTAAAGTGTTACCGGAAGAAAGTAAAAACTCAACAACAACAAACATTTCATTTGCTTTGGCAAATCCAGCGCCATTCACTTTGAATAAAGGCAGAAATATTCATACATTACAACCTGTTGCTCTTCCAAATCTTAGCGTATCACCTTTACCACCAATTTTCAATGCACGACCTTTTCGACCAGAACGTCCACAGTTCCCTAAAAGTATACTTCATGGAATCAATCATATGCAACAGTCAGTTACTAATGTACACATACAACAGAGTATTCCACTAACTGAATATACACATTCTGTAGATTATCCAGCAACCTTCATTCAGTCGCCTATAATTGAAATAGATGCACCTACTATTTCAAACCAGACTAAAGGTTACAGAAATATCCCTAATAGTTATGTCGTAGACGAGATTAGAGACATTTCTTCTCAAGCTTCTGAAAGTGTTTCAACTAAATCAATTTCAGATGCAAGTTTTGAAAGTACAGGTGTTGACTTTGGCAATGACCTGTATGATTCTGGTATACCTGTGGACCTTAAACAACCATCAGGTGTTCCGTCAAATCACAGACCAGAGTTTGCAGATTTGAGAGGAATGAACGATGAAGACCTTGATAAGTACCGTACAGAAAATAATTTACAAAATATTGATTCCCCTCTTTTGTATCTTAAACCAAGTGCTCCTCATAAAAATCATGGAAACTTTATACTTGCTGTATCATCACCAATTCCTGAAAACGAGTATGAAATATATGATGACAGCCCAACAACTGCTGCACCTCTTACACCTACATTGACAAGCAATTGGGATGACAGTAGAGATGACTACCGAGAAGAAATAAGTCCCTCGTTTCAAGAAAAGAAATACAAACCTAAAATTGTACAAATAATTGTGCCTTATACAACTAGAAATGAAGAACCAGAAAGTAATGACGATTTTGTGGAAATGGCACGAGATTGGCCTTCAACACCAAAAGACGAATATCAAGCCAGAAAAGTACCATCAAATACAGATCATACACATATTTACACAGCGACAGAAATATACGCTACCGAGCCTACGACGACCACTGAAGAATCATTACAAATACCACAGACAGATTATCCAGATTTAGATCAATATCATCCTACTGGAATTTTAAAAGACCTGTATGACGTTAAAGAACCCCCGTTTGACATTATCAAGCTACAACATACTATCGATGATTGGACACAACAAGAGTATTCTAAGCAGTATAAATCGCCACAGAAGACAAGAACTAGTGAAATTTATGCCAAAAAAATTCCTGACAACTACTTTACTACACCAGTGCCAGCGAATCATGTGACAACAACTATCAATTATAATAACGAATTTTATGACCACGAAGGTTCAAGCAGTATCCAAAATACGGTGACCGATGATATTAATAACAAAACGAAAGCAAAACCTCGGAAAGAATACAATGTCATAGAACGACCTAAAAATTCATATATTACTAGTAAAAAAGATCAATCCGATGAAGCAATACAAAGGTTTCATATTTATACGGCAGCATCGTCATTCCGTACTACAAGTACCACAACCACTCCAGCGCCGTGGGGTAAAATACAAACATCTATATCGCCTTTAACGAATGAAAAAGTTTACGTAGTTACGTCAAAGCCTTGGAAAGAAACACGTAATATTTCCAAGGAATGGTACGATATTGAACCATTTCAATCAATGAAGATCAATTCTAATAGTGATATATCTACATCAAGCAAATTTCCGTTTAAGTCTCCAAGGTTTTTGGATCGACCCTCATTTGATTTCAATTCAGGAGGAAAGATTGAATCTGATTCATCATATGGGTTTTCTAAAAGCTGGTTTCAAAGCAGTAAGTTTTGTCTTAATTAAAATCTAACTCTAGTTCATTGACCACGAGAGGTTATATTAAAGTTATATGTCTCAATTTGTTTCTTGGTTTTTCCTTCTAATGAGCGTGAAATATCGAAATACAACTACACAGAAACCAGAACTCGTGGTTACACGTGGTAGTCATATACCCTGACTGCTAAGTCGGTCGTGGGTTCGATTCCCACCCAGGGACAAATGTTTGTGTGATGAGCATAATTATATTTTCTCTGTCTGCGTGTTATTTATCTATAATAATTTGTATGTATTTAGAAAAGTTAAGTATGTTTATCAGTAGGCTGGTTACCATTACATAGGCTCTACCAAGTTTGGGATCTAATTGCTGGATATATGTGAAGCTATTATATTATTAGTTATTTTTTTAATTACAAAATTCTAAATTTATTTCAGTAAATGAATTGGAGACTCAGAAAGAGAACGATAGTGCGTCCATGGCAGAAGCTAGACGACAAAAAGATACCAGTGAAATGGACGAGGTTTAATCTTATTTTAGTAACTGTTACTCCTATAAACATTATTCTACTTTAAGTTTACTTTTGTTAAAACACCAATTGACACAGCAGTATCAATTGTTCCTTTAACTTTTTTTTTTTAATATGAAAAATGGTTTAAAGTGGTATATATATTGATACCAACTATACTAAATATGTTTTTTAGGTACATCAAATGAGTTAGATAAACAGTTAGTGTAAATGAGTTCAATTTTATATATAGTTTGATATTCCATTAGCCCGCTTCGAAGACGCTGTTGTATATCAATTTTTTACCTTAAATTGCCAACTTTGTATACTCTCTAGTAATACCGATTGGTTAGTAAATTATCATCTTAATTGTAGCTTTTCAAATTGATATTGTTATGATCAAACTTCTCTATAAAAAGTAGTTTTCTTATTTATTTTCCATCTGTTTTAGTAGTTTTCTTTTATCACTGTTTATAAAATTGACAATGAAATAGTTAAAGATTTGCGTTAGTTATTTTTAAATACATTTCTTAGTGCCACCGAAGTAGTAAATCGGTACAGAACATCAACGACGTATATTGATAATGCACCGCGCAAAAAATTGTAGATTCTTTGTGGTTGGCAAAGTTTTAGAAAGATTACAAACTAAAACTTTGCCCTCAATAATAATAATCAGTGAATAGAAAGAAACCGCAGATGAAACTCAATATAATACTACAGTCATAAACATCACCCTTTGAAATTCTCCTAGGAACGTTTGATATCATCATCAGCTAATCGCAGTCCACTGCTGGACACAGGTGTCTTTCATTGCACGCCACTTCGAGCGATTTTCGGCTAGATATGTTTCCCAGTAAATTTCAGAAAGTGATGGCGATTAAAGTGATTGATCTCATATTGTTAATCCCATAAATTGTTCATGTGTTTATCGTAATTATTTCTTACAATTTCTTTTAAATAATTTTTATATTTTCAGGACATAGATGCTACAACTGCAACTTCACGTAGAGGTTCTAAATGACATTCCAATGAGATCAAATGTGAACAAAAGAACTTCAACCAAAGTGATGAAACTGTTAAGACAAAAGTATGTGTATTATTAGAATAACCAAATTAGTGAGTGCATCACAGAGCAAATGAAGAAGAACACTACACTAGTGTTCTTCTTAATTTGATCAAATAGAATTTAGTTTTTTTGTACTTGGACTATACATAAGGTGGAAAAAGTGGGACTCTGAAAATATAATATTAGTGTTTTGTTATATATATATTTTACATGTAAATCTACTTTTATTTAGTTATAGATACTAAGAAAGGCACTGTGTGACCAGAGGAGTTATAAATGTTTCACGACATAATTTAAGTTTTTTTGAAAATGTATCATTTTTAAATATTGTATTGGTTCCATTGAATAGGCATTTGTAGTTGTGCTATTATTAATGTATGTATATAGAAATAACATGTTTATATTCGTCAAACCAAAAACATTTTCATGTAAAATGTTGCCAAGACGAGACTATATGGCTGGCACTGTCCAAAAGTTATCAATTCTCATGTAGAGCCAAACTTCTAACTCTACACGCCCTAACTCTTCAAGCTCTAACATCACAATCTCTATACGTTAGTCAAAATACGTGAATACATTTTTCACCTTACGCCCATGTGACGGTAGTAAAACAGCCAAGCCACATATTTTGAATAAGGTGTAGAGATTGTGAAGTTACGGCGTGTAGTTAGAAGTTTCAAGTTTGGCTCTACATGAGATCTGATAACTTTTTGAAAGTGCGCGCCATAATAGTCTCGTCTTAGCAACATTTTACATGAAAATGTTTTTTTGTGGGTTTTCACTTCTTTTTGTAAGTTGCTTACGACTACAGGGTTTACACTAAAAGTTCTTATTTTTAATGTTTTTCGAAGTAGTCTCCTTTAAGTTCAAAGCACCGTCGCTTGCGTTGGAACCATTGACTGAAGCAGTAAGCCCACCCTTTTCTAGCAATCTCTTCCACGAATATTTCAAACGCAGCCGCGGCTTCTTCGGAGGTAATGAAATGAATCCCTCTTAGTTTATCTTTTACTTTTGGAATTTAATAAAAGTAGAAATGTTATGTTTACATTCATTTTACATTCGGGACCAAATTCTTTTGAAATAATAAACGTAAACTGATTGAGGCGCTTATGTATCACTATCAGGTACTATACCGTCAATTTATTTATCAAATAAAAAACACTGTTAATATAGCCTTTATATACAAATTAATGTTTTTATATTTTGAGCAATGCTGGAAACAGTTTTTGCGAATATTACGATTATAGATGTCCAAAAATTTGATTACCCCATATGATTAGGTAATTGTAAATACTGAAATGTAAATAAATCTAATAAAGTATAAATAAAATGATTATAAAATAACCTTAATTCTTTAATATCACACCAACATGCTAACCTACCACAATCATGTATGTTTAGCTGCCAAATCAACCTCACCTTAATTACAGATTATTGGTTATAAAATGGTACTTAACTATTAATAATCTTTGTGTTTATAACGTTGAACAACATTTTATACCTGTAATAAACAACAATAGTAGGTATTAAAATTACCTTTATGGTGAAATATGTAATTACTATCGTTTGATTCTCATAGATATAAATTATTGTTGTGTTTCAAGTCTTTGGTGATAAGACACTCATTTGACTCAAATATACACAAGATAAACATTTTAAATTTGTTTATCAAATCAAATTATCGCAATTTTTAAGACTTCAGTTAGATAAAGCGAAAGGTTTGATGCGCCCATGCGGCGTTTTACGCTATATCAATAGCGAGTCATCTATTTACTAGGCAAAAACATTCTTAATAGTATTATTCTAATATCTATGCGGAAATCGAGCATTTTGCGAGGATGACACGCTGTCACCATGAGGACAGCATTCTTTTTTATTTAAGGCATAGTAGCCGCAACAAATGGCTAGCAGCGGATGGATGCGGCATTCCGCATCCATCCGCTGCTAGCCTAGAGCCTCAATCAGCAGTAGACCGCGATAGGTTTATGATAGCCAAAAATATGAACGTATTCTGCTGCGACGACATGGTCTCTAGACACATGGTTGTTGGCAAGTCGACCACATTACGTTGGCACTAATGAATTCGTCTTATATTAATATACCGTAAGTAAGCAGATGTAATCAAGCATGCCATTTCTACCGTACATAATATCTTTTATTTCGATCTGAATGTAAAAAAGTATGGCTCTGAGCTAGTAGTGAGTATATACTGAAAACTTTATCCCCGTCTCCTACAGGTAATGAATGTTATTTATCGGTTGGTTGTTCAGACTTAGATCTATCTCTCCATCGAATGTAAAGGAACTCTCCACTCCATGTAATTATAGTTAGCAATGTTACGAAGTTCAGCACAACTATCGGCACTTGGTATGATCCAGAAGCTTCTCTTACGCGTGCTGTAACAATAATTAATGTTAAAAGTTTTTACATGTTAAAATATCAGTTGATTAAAATACGTTAAGCATAGTATAGAGCGGTACTACAGGTTTGGTCCCATTCAAATATGAAGTGAAAGTACTACCAATAAGGGTCGAAAATTAAGAAATGAAGAAAACAGTCTGTTAAAATATATCATCATTAAAAGTTAATTGTTTTACAAGTAGATTTAGCGAGCTCAATGTGCTTGTTTTACATAAATACTAAATTGATGAACATTTCTTACATATTAAGACCTATTAGATGATTCATTTCATACCAATTATGTAAATACAATACAACTACTATTCAATAAAAGTAGCTTCACAACTTGGTGAAGAGGCTTGGTTGTGTTCAAAACTAGTTGAGAAAGTTTTCAGGAGTTAAAGTTACCCAAACCCTTTATACATTCAAAAATGTTTTTTTTCTTAAGTTATTAATCTATAACTTAGAAGCAAGAATTGTACTTCTAAAGATAAAGTTGTTGCTTTGTAAGCTGAAGAGAAATATCGAGTGGACAATATGAACATTAATATGCAATTAGTAAGTATACGAATTAGGTTCATAAGGCCCCCCTTACACAAGATAGATACACAAGTAACAATGGACGATACGCTTTATCAGTAAATAGTTACATGTAGGTCAGTAGTCCGATGCTCGAGATTCCAGCGTTGTTTATTTTATTAAGACATTTGATTTACAACTAGGTATTGCCAATGGCTTCCCTCGCAGTACTATCACTACTACAAGTTCTAAGCAGTCTTCCTACCTATCGGGCACAATAAATACTTATTTGTACTGTATCCCTAGTAACGTATATACAAAATCTCACGATCATCAGACGAACGACGGTTTCTAAGGAGAGGCCGATGTCCAACAGTGGACTATTATGGGCTGTTGACCCACACACCCACCCCTACACACTAATTTTAAACCGACTTAAAAATGTTCTCAATTCTTTTTTATGTTTTATTTTGTATATTTTACGCGATATCTTCGCCATTTGCGAACCGATGTTAGTAACTCTTAAAATAATGATGGCGGTGATTCTTTTTTTCGTTAACTATGGTATTTTAGATTGCAATAATCTTAGGATACTTCATTATTTAGATTTATTTATTTATACATCATGCACTTTTGGTGCTTTGGCGGACTTAATGCCAAAGGTATTCTCTATCAGTCAAGACAGTCAGACAGTCACAGAGAACAGGAAGTAGGTGCATTTAGGTATGCAGGTGTAATTGCAATAAGGAACTACGTTAGGGCAACTTTGACTTAGTTTGTTATGTTAAAGGCAGGATCAGACAGCAGCCGGGGACGGGGCGAAAATGCATAACATCTTTACACATGAAATTTGAGATATGATGTCGCGATATACTACAAATTAAAGTTAATAAATTTATAGTTGTCTTAGTTTTTCAAACGCATACTTTTACCTTACAGTTGTTGTAGTGGAATTATATGGCTTAAAATTAAAAAGTCTTTAAATTATTATTTTTCTTTACAAGTCTACATACGTTTGTTAACTTTATTTAATACTTCATGTTATGACTTTAAAATAGTAATTATAATAACCACCAATTCGGAACAGGTTTTTAAGAAATAATATTTTGAAACCTTAATGCCATTTGTTGTTGTCTGTCCCAACTTGCAAAGATTTAAAACTTAATTTTATTATGAATTGGTCCACTATTAGACATAGACAGAAGAGTAGAGACTAAAAAACCAAAAAGCAAACACACCGACAAAAAAGAAAAATTTCATAGAGCAACAGTCGGCGGCCTTTGTTGTTCTATGAAAAAATGGTTCTATCCTTATATCTATATTACCTAAGCCTCTAAAGTATTGGCTAATACTTGCTACCTATAACGCAGACACGTGCCTGTAAATAACATTTCATATATACCAAAATATTTTTTTAATCAAATTTCGAAAGTCCTTAGACTCCTTGTCGTAGAATTCTTTTTTCTTTGTTTTAATTTCATATTTCATCTTCCTGGAACAAGTAGTATTTTCCAGATTCCATGATTAATGACTCAACGAGGATGTGTAGTGAATTAAATTTGAATCTAAAGATATTCGGATACTATATTAATAATAATATACCTCATACAACTCACACACGGCTGTCTCATCCCAAACTAGGCAGAGCCTGTACTATGGTAACCAGACTGCTGATAAACATACTTATATATTTCTAAATACATACATATTTTAGATAAATTACAACCAGACACAGAACAAGTGACCGTGCTCATCACACAATATCTGTCCTAGTCTGGGAATCGAACTCACGACCTCCGACTTAGCAGTCAGGGTCACTAACCACTAGACCAATGAGCCCGTCGATAATGAACTTGTTTTATAAATTTATGTGCAGACAAATTACTCATAAAACTTTTTATTTCTTGTATTTAACATTGTCTTGATAGTTTCGGATTCACACTTCTTATTTTTCTTTACATTTTATTATTATTCTTGTGTAATGAGATTATTTTAACAATGTTTTACTAATTAGACAGTAATTATTCGTTTAATGTTAGCGTTGTTTACAAGTTATCAGGGGTTACGAGAGAGTTATGACAATGTTCACCTCGCTTGTTTACTTGGGAAAACTCGAAAATACTTCGAAAGCATAACACAGCTCTATCAGGTATTAAGGTATTATTATTTTTGGTGTTGAATCTGGCTGGTCATTTATTTCTAATAAACATTTTCATTTGTGCACAATAAAAAATAAATTGTCCTAAATAGCTATACAAATAAATAAAATTGAAGTACGAGTATCTGTTTGTAATGTCTATTTAAAAGGTTTTTGATGCTCACACAGTTATATGCACGATACCTATGCCTAAAAACCAGTTTTTTTAATCTGTCTGTCTGTTCCGGGTAATCTTCTAAACAGCTGGACCGATTTTGATAATATTTTACTACCAGGTACCTGTCTATATAAGGAGTAACTTAGCCTATTTCTCCTCTCAGAAAAACCCTTTAAAATTTTGCCCGGTCCTGGAATCGAACCCACTAAGAAAGCGCTTTCAAATTCCATGCGAAGGAAGTTCAGCTAGTCTGTACATATAAGACAAACCCTATACCAACCCGTCTGGCCCGTAGTATAGTAGGCCAATACCCCTTTCTAAAGAGAGGCCTATGTCAAGCAGTGGACTATTAAAGGCTGTTGATGTGATGATGTGATGTATGTATTTAGAAATATATAAGTATGTCTAGCAGCAGTCTGGTTACCATAGCACAAGCTATGTCTAGTTTGGAATCAGACGGCCGTGTGTGAGATGTGTAAAGTTATTATTATAATCACGCGAGCGAAGCCGCGGGCAACAGCTAGTTTGAGATAAGATGATTATTACTAAATACGTATGTTGGTATAAAGAGCTCTAAGTAAAATGAGCTAAAATCAAAACTTAAAAGATTTAAATCCTTGTTTGAAGCTCAAACTTTTCTGCCCATCAAGCATTGAAATCTTTCATCTAACAGTAAAAAGAAAATACTTACTGAGTACTGAACCTATAGTGAAAATGGTGATACCACTGAAGAACATTTGGAGGCCAGAAGCAAAGGCAAGTCTATGTATAGGTACGTAGTTCGGTATCACTAAGTTGACGTACACAGTCCTCAGCGCTTTGGTGACACCAAGTGCCACTGATATAACCAACATACTAGTGAAGGATGTTGTAAACAGCATCACTGAAAGGTTACAAAGTCTTTTGGTGAATAATTAAAATTTAAATAACACATACGTATACACAAAAAATACAAAATCATACTAAGTACTGAAGTGGTCTGCGATCTCAAAAAATTCATACTATCTTACAAAGTCTATGCAAATTGAATATTCACTAATACGTAAGAACCTATACTTTATAAAAGTATAAATTTGATATTACAAGCATTAGAAGTTTTAAAAGTGGTCCTGAAAGACAAGAATCTATGTAAGTATGCACTAGTTTCAAGTTTCTTGTTCGAATACTACAACAAACGAATACAATAATAAAATGAATAGATTTCACTTTCTATGTCATCGTCACAAAGAGCTTACACAAATACATTTAATTACGTTTGCATTCAAATAATAGCTCTGTGAGGTATATTTGTTAAGTATTTAACCACAAATAATTTGTTTGACTTCATCGGTAAAGTAGGTAACATACGTACAATTTGTTTATATTGTTAATGTCAAGTAACTCATACTACGCAAATATAAAGGTCTGATGACAGGAGGGTGTATATAGAAAAGAATAATGAAATGAAGAATATATGTACGTATGAAAATTGAGCAATTTAAATTAAAAGGAGCTGAAAACTACATAAGTTATTGTTTTATCGCGTGAGTAAATATGCATTTTTATTATTTTTATCGAATTATACAATCAGTTATAATCCTCTAATACCGTTCATATAACGGGTTTTAATTTAAAGCAAAATAAGTATGGACAGTTGAGAAAACTCAGAGATAAAGCGCTGATAATATTATACAATACACTGTATACGGTAAGCCGTAGCTCGAATATAATCAGACTTGAGGTTGTGGTCGTTAAGGCAACCTATTGAAAGAGGTGTCAATATGTATGGTATATAGTTAATATAAAAACCGAGTCAAGGTCAAGTACAGTATGATGACTAGGGTACTAGTCATCAGTCTGTACTCTAGTCTTACGACGAGATCCCCTTAGGACCGATTTGATGCTGCTAAGTTATATTTCTTAATGTTTATGAATTCACTTGTGATTAAATTAAAAATGATATGTATTACGTTATAATAATTTCTGCTGCACATACTTACTGGTTCTAACGAAGATGATCAGCAATAAACTGACCATGTACATAATACGCGCTGACTTATTACACCATTCCCCAATAAACGGTGATACAAATCGAAATAAAGTGTCAGAAAATCCAATAACTGACATTAATTTCGCTATGTCACTAGTTTCAAATTTCAACATATCATGTAGAATAATAGGTAATAGAAGTGAAAAGTTTGTCTCCACACACGCCGCTATTGACATTCCAAATACAATGTTGACAAACACTGGATCAGTTAAAAGCTTCAAGTCGAAGAATTCAACGAAATTTGACATATAACTATTATTTTTAATTTCAGTTTTCTCTTCTTGAGTATTAACAGTCTTTTTAATCTCAGTTTCATTAAAAATATTAATGGAACTGCCGAGATTAATTTCTTGAGACTCCCACCATTTGTACCGAGCCTCCTCCAAAGGTGTCACTGGTGCTTTTGAACGTATGTCTGGATGAGAAATTGCATTTCTAGTTTGAGCACTAGAAGTGCTCGTCAGAGACCTCATGGAAAGGCTTTTTACTGGAAGCGATCCATTCCCCACAGATTGCTCTAATTGTGGTAGTGAATGAATACCTGTCACAAGAAAAATAATTATAACAGTTATTTGTTATTGAGTTGGGTTCGGACATAGTAAATTTTAAGAGACGTATGAAAAGTTCTCACCAACTACATTAGACGATGTTGTAACACTCCCATTAATCTCTTCGGTTTGATTATTTAACGGTTCCACTTCCTCGGGACTAGGCGGATCTATTAGGTACCACTTGGCTGGTCTAAGCAAGCATGCAGCCAAAAGTGAGTGAAGACAAATGGCACTTAAAATGAGTATTGCGTATCGCCAACCATAAGTATATATTAGAAAACTAATTAGCAACGGCATGTATATTGCACCAAGGCCTGTTATAGACATGCCCACCCCAATCGCTCTACCTCGTTTCTCTTTGAAAAATGAATTTATTGCTAATGTAAATGCGCTCATTATTGCTGCTATACCCATAGCTGAAAATAAAAGAAAACATTAGTTTTACCTTGTGATAAAAAATATGCAACACACGAGCCTCAAACAATGGGGATGGTCTAACAATTTGTAAGATTGCTGCATTCGGTTTAAAAGATACGCTAATTACAGTAAGAACCTTATCACGAAAAAAAACTATGCAATAGTTTCACTTCTGCCGTGTGTGAACACACGGCAGAAGTGAAACTTCAGAAAAGTAGCCTACAAGAGAATGAGAAAAATATAGAGTATCAGGAGTATTAGGATAATTAAAAGGTTTATTTTTATAATTTAGGAGACGAATATTACAGAAAACACTGTATACTTGTAATCTATCTCATTCTCTGGCAGGCTAAATCCTATTTATGAATATATTTGTCGGTTTTTATTGTCGCTTTATTGAATTTTCAAATCACAACGGTGCTAAAGAAGTTTCACACATCAACAAGGGGGCCTGTGCTAAGATGGTATATCTAAATATATACATATTATAAATAAATAACCCCCAGACACAGAACAAATGATCGTGCTCATCACACAATTATAATGGGTGGGAATCGAACCCACGAGCTCTGGCTTAGCAGTAGGGATCACTAACCACCAGATCAACCGGACCGTCAAATAACTAAATAACTTTTGCTTTACTTTTTAAAACAAAACAATAGATTTAAGCATTTTTACTCATTACTGCCAGTAAACTATTAGGAATTGTTCGATGTTTCAATCATTACGATATTGCACGGTAAAAGTTTATTACCTGCATCGTTTTTGAAAATTGCCTTTTTAACTGATTAATTAAATATGGATATATTTTTAAGCGATTTAATCAAACTTAAACATTATTATTTAATAATATATCTATTATTTTCTATTGGCACAAACCCACTCTTTCAAAAGGCATGGTTTTATTTAGAAAACAGATAAAAAATGTATACTCACAGCAAATAATACTGTAGCATATCATAAAGTGCCAAAACTCAGTCGATAATGAAGTCAAAAATAGTCCGACTGAAATGAAAGTCGCCCCAGCTACAGCGACTTTCCTGTACCCGTACCCCTTCAACGTTGGCCCTCCAAACAGAGAAAGGAGCATTCCTACACTATGATTTAATACAATTACTAAAGTAATCTGTGTTGTAGTCAAGTCCGTGTCGGACATCGCCTCTTGTAACAGCAACCCGAAACTAGTGATTAAGGGAAGTACCACCACCTGAAAAAGAGTTAACATCAATATAACGAAACGGAAGAGTTGAAAAGTGAGTTTTAATAAAGCAAGCGTATTAATAACCTGCTAAAATTAAATAAAATATAAGAAATCCTAATTAAATAATAAAAATCACAACTGCACGCCATACTTTCACGATACTTTTTTTTTTAAATATATACCCAGTATCAATTTGAATGATGTCAAGATTCAAACCATAATATATATTTAAAATAGTTTCAAACATTTACAAGTTATGGTCGAATAAAAAAACTTGTGTTCATAATTGTGTTCATTAGCCTTTTTTGTTCTGTGCGAAAACTCCCTCGGGATACCAACTAAAGGTGGTTATGTAGGACTCGAACCGACGCAAAATTGCACGTCGTCCCGGGTACCAGTAGCCGGTGAATCACCTTAGGAAGAAAATCCCTGGTACCCGACGGACCACGGGCCATCTACGGCTTGAAGATTTGAGCCCCCTCGTGTGTGGTAACCACGGTGTTCCCCTTCTACAATCTAAAGGGTGCGCTCGCTCTCCAGGCCTGCTTCTGCTAGGGTGACAGATGGCCTCACCTATCACCCCCAGGTTGGCGCTTATGGAGGACGGAGGTCGTTCAGCGACCTCCGGCGCTTTCGCGTCTGCGGTACCTGGCTCGTTCTCGGGTCTGGTGGACCGGGAGAGTTTTTAACCTCTCGCAGTCCCGCTCTGCCGTTTTCTTCGTAAGAATAACTTGCTCACAGAAAGAGACGGCGGAGTTTCACGCGCTTTCGCTCCGTACCACGGCCGCAATCATGGTACCAAGCTAGAGAATTGTCACTCCGATGGCCACTATGACGTCACGCCTCTGCTGATTCCACGCCGGCTTCCGTGCGGCTTTCGCAGTAGTGACACTCAGGCGATGGCTCCTTGCGGATCAGACACAGGTGATAACCGAAGCATTCATTCCCGGTGATCACCTGCGTCTGCCGGTATGAGAGGGTCCCGTGATGTCTTTCGAGTCAATCCCTTATAACGGATCTTACCGCCGCCAAAACGGCGTGCCCGGCGATTGGTTGCCAAGTCGTTCCTTCCACTCCTACACGAGGACCTGGAGGAGTTGGGATTTCTGATCCTTGATTTCTCGGGTCTCAGGACGCCAACCCAACTCCCGCGCTTTCTTGCGACACTAATACAGAGCCGCAAGAGCTCACGCTTCCAGGTCCCACGGTAGAGATCCGGCCAGGAGACTCACCACCTCAAAGGAGATCCTGCGGGACCCCCTTATGACCATGATAGCCAGCACTCGCTGCGGTCGTCGCATTTGATCGACGTTGATGGTCTTCAGGGCCTTCGCCTATACTGGGGCCCCATAAAGGGCCATAGACCGCACAACCCTCGAGTAGAGTCTCTTGCAAGAGTCATCGACTCCCCTCATGTTGGGCAGCAGCCGCGCAAATGCACGCTCTGCTCCAACCAACTTAGGGACCAGACCTCGGAAATAATGTCATACATTCATTAACCCTGAAAACATATTATTAATTTAGACAGACTTGTAAAAAGGTAATTTAATAACTACCGTTGGTCAGGGTTATACGAAAATATATGCCGAATATAGCAAAAAGACCTGGCAAGTAATTTTTTTACAGTTTAAATAAATATTTTAACTGCGAAACAAATCATTAGATATTCAGATAACACAATTGAAGGAAGGTTTCCTAATTTTGAATGTTTTATTTTTTAAATATTTATGCACCGATGAAATATATAAACAAATACATATTTACATAAATACCTACGAATCTATTGACAACTTAACAAAGAATTTATTTTCTTTTCTCGTTCAAAGCGATCTCTATACACTAAAAGTATTTAAAGAGATAGTTTAAACGTAAAATGACCAAAGGTCGCAACTGACACATTTACTATTTATAGGTTAATTACCTTTAATCCCCGATAATTGATGTTTGTTGGTTTAAAACTTAAACCATGACTTGAACCCTCAGGGCCAGAATAGATATTAGTTACAGTATCGCAGAATAGTCATTATTATATGCAAACTGAAACTGGTATTGTTACCAGTTGAATAGATTTTAAGAGAATCGAGACTTGTTTAATTATGCTGTGTTACTCAGTGTGTATCATGGACGACGGAGACGACAATTTAGTACGACACGATAGCGATATTTCTGGCACCAATCTATGCAGATAGGCAATGAATTAAGTAACTTGATTCATTATCAAGTTATCGCAAAAAAAACTTTAACTCACTTTTTAACATTAACAAAATCTTTTTGTCGTCATTTAGAGATGCTTTTATTTTTGCACATTCTAAATATCCTTGATTACTTGTATACGCTGATAAAGAAAGAAAACAGAAAACACAGGACAGGACAGCGTTATAGTAATTTACTTTTACTTTTTGTAAGAAAGTTTGATCACATCATCATCAACAGCCCTTAATAGTCCACTGCTGGAGGTAGACTTCTCCGTACAAAGGAGATTTCGGCCTGCTATACCACGCTGGACAGACGGGTTAGTACAGGGTTTCTGTCAAGTTTTTCTTGACTTAGTCAGAGTATAGTCAAAATTTGATGATTGACAAATGCAAGATCCGTATTGTAAAACACTATTATTTACTTACTGATACAATTAATAATCTTTTGTAAAGTTTATTATGTATTATATCTTATCAAAGTCGTCACCTAGTTTCTAAGAGGGTTTCATTAGACTCACAGTATTACAATAATAAGAGCGCTAAGTAATAAGATTACAACTGTGCAGTTTTCAAGGTCTTATTGCTTCCTTAGCTTAAAATATTTATTATAGCAGTTAAAAGTCGTAAGTCATTTTCAAATTGCAATCAAGATACTAAAATAGTAATACCTAAACCGTAATTGAAAAGCTTGTAAAAATTTGGGGTCACATAGAGGTAGAAAGGCCTATTGGAAATCTTATCTATCTTCCCTGGTACCTTTTTTTTTGTTGACGGGGTGGAAAATCCCTTCGGATCTCCGGCTGCTTGGGGACGCAGAAGCCAGGAATATGTGGTGTTGAAACTAAAATCCACCGTGATGGCCGGTCTCAGGCTCTAAGGAGGACCCGTAGCAGGTTATTTCAAGTCTCCCCCGGATCGACGCCGCGCCTAGCCAGGTCCTATCCCGGGGGATGCTGCGGGCTATCCCCCGCCTGTCGGACCAATCATTATATGTTGCAGCCCGATCCCATTTTTGTGACCAGGCCGCCATCCTATCACATACCGCAGCAGTTAATCTGCCACCAGATCTGAATTCCTCTCTGGCAGCCTGCCGGCATTACAAAATATGTACAAACATGCCCGTATGATTTTGTTTGCTAAATTTGAAAGAAATGTATGGTGAATTCCTGTGTTATTTTGTTTATGATTAGTTGCAATAAGTGTAGGTACCATGTAATAAAATATAACTAAAATGAACTAAATAACCCGACTCGAAATTGCTGCTATTAGTCAACAAAATAACTTTTGTTTGCATGTAACACGCATTACAGATAACACAGCTGAATGACTTATGTAAATACATATACATAAATCATTCGCCTAAGAAACTTTAGATTGTTACAGATGTTAGTCTAGAATTATATATTTCTTCGAATTCGGTTACGTTTACATTAGAAAATACCGTATATCCTACAGTTCCGTTGTAGGTTGTTTTTAAATTTAACTACGCTTATATTCATGTCTGTGTCTGTGTCATTTCTAAGCTTTTTGGAGGATAATCGACAATTTGACTCTGGAGGCTATACAACGAGACTATTACAAATTCGGAAATTCAAAACAATAAATTTATAACTTGTTTATAACTACCTATACGCCACTATTAACTTAAAATTGATTAAATTAATTAAATAAAAAGCATTGTTAAGATAGGTTAGTTAGAACGGCGATCAGTGTGATGTCTAAAGCGCCAAAATGTTTACACCGGGAATTGTAAAAAAAAAAAAAAAAATGGGTAGGTATAGTACGGGCACGCCGTCATCGCGGCGGTAAGACCCGTTATGGAGGATTGGCTCGAGAGGCGTCACGGGACCCTCTCATACCGATTGACGCAGGTGATCACTGGGAAGGGATGTTTCGGGGATCACCTGTGTCTGATCCGCAAGGAGCCAACGCCTGAGTGCCACCACTGCGATGGCCAGACCGTGGACACGGCTCTCCACACGCTGGCAGAGTGCCCGGCGTGGGTTGAGCAGAGGCGAGACCTCGTGGCGGCCATCGGAGTGGGAGTTCTCTCGCTCGATAGCCTGATTGCGGCTATCGTGCAGAGCGAGAGTGCGTGGAACTCTGCCGTCTCCTTCTGCGAGCAAGTTATGCTCGCAGAAGGAGACGGCGGAGCGGGACCGGGAGAGGTTTAGAGCTCTCCCGGCCCGCCAGGCCCGGGAACGGGCCAGGTACCGCAGGCGACTCAGGCGCCGGAAGTCGCAGAACGACCTCCGTCCTCCATAAGCGCAGGCCTGGGGGTGACAGGTGAGGCCATCTGTCACCCTAGCAGAAGCAGGCCGGGGTGGTGGCGAGCGCGTTGCGAAGCGCGCTCGCTTCCAGGGAGCACAGGGAACATGGGGTTCCCACACGGGGGGGGGTCGTCTACTCGTCTGTAGATGACCCGAGGTATGTCGGGGCACCAGGGACTTCCTTTCTAGGGTATACCTGGTTCCCCGGCTATTAGTACCCGGCGACGGCGTGCGGTTTTAGTCGGTTTGTGTCCGACATGCCACCGACAGGTGGTATCCGAGGGGATTTCCGCACGGAAAAAAAAAAAAAAGGGTAGGTATAGTAGCGTGACAAATATATTATTAAAGATCAATAAAATAACTGATTATAATCGAGATACGGAGCATATTAATACTGTTGACAAGCCGCGATTAGTTTTATGGTAGTTGTAAAAATACGGTCGTATAGAATGTATAGAAAAGACAAACCTAGTTGAGACATGGAAATGAAGCGTAAAGGATCAATAAATTGAAAATAAATACGTTAAAATAGTTGTTGTTATTAATCGGTGTGAATAATCTCCGAAAATAAACTAAACAGTGCCACTGAACCCTGACCTTAAGACAACATGTCATAATATAATACAATTTCATAAATGTATTTCCCACTAAATTATTTCTCACTAGCTGAACCGCGCTACTTCGTCTGCGTCTCTCAATAGTAGTAAATTTTCTCCGTTTTGGAAACATTCTTCATTGGTGCTCCGCTCCTATTAGTCTTAGCGTGATGATATATAGCCTATAGCCTTCCTCGATAAATGGGCTATCTAACACTGAAAGAATTTTTCAAATCGGACCAGTAGTTCCTGAGATTAGCGCGTTCAAACAAACAAACAAACAAACTCTTCAGCTTTATAATATTAGTATAGATATGATATACCGTATAGGAAATATTTCTCATAGCAACTGCTGGAATAAGGTAATGAAACGAGAAAAAAATAAAAGAAGTTGAATTAAAACATACATATTAGTATTTACTTACATTGTTTAAAGCATACGCAAAGGTGACAACCCATCCGTAGCCCCCGTCTGGGGGCACTTTGTTCGTTTCTTTATTTGACATCTTTAGAAGAAATTCACTTTCACATATCTTTCAGGAAAATCACGTCCAAAGAAGGTATATTTGATTATTATTTAGTAATGTCACATACACTAGAGTCATCTAAAAACACGTTTTAATCCACAGTTGTAATGTTATTTGAGCTATTGTTGATCTTTGGTGTAATTAAATTCAATTAGCAACATATTAAATACGTGAATGTTCGAAGCACTGCCTACATGATGTGTTGTTAGTGGGAACTGTACACATACATATGTTATCGGTTTGACTTCACAAATGTCTCGTTATCTTTAACAGTCTATGACGTGTTCATCACCAGTACGTGACATCTTTCACAATTAATTATCATAATTAAATTATAGATCACCGGATTCAATATATTATATGATTATAATTGTAGATGATTAAACGTATTTAAAGAATAATATTCATTTACGGCGTCACTTTTAGTAATACTGACAAAACCTGTTGGGACATGAGAGTAGTAAGTATTTAATAATTTATACACAATTGGCAGATCTTTTGCAAATATGGTCTGAGAAATTATACACTTCCATACAAAAAATAATATTTCATTTTGTTACCTTTGCTTTTGTGAATCTAAACTAGAGTACAAATAACAAAACGCCCAAAAAATAAGAAAAGAAATCATCTAGATAACCTAAATAAGGTTATTAAAATTCCAAATTAGATATTCAGTAAAGTAAATGATAAAACATGTTCCTAAATATTATAATTAGATAGCGAACCACGACGACTGTACGTGTGTGTAAATACGAATGAGTTTGTGAATTGATAAGACAGTATTCAGGCCAAACACCTCAGTAATTGAAATGAGGTCGAAATACTTAATGGAAAATAATTGAAATTCCCGTAACTTTTAAACTAAGTATTTAAATAAAAAAAAGTGCAATATTCATGAAAGAATATTATTATTTCTGAAATACTGACGAGGAAGTAATGGGTCTTTTAAACCTGTTTTCATTCTTACTTTTAAACCACGATTTCTATGAAGCTTATCACTGAATCAATGACAAAATTTAAATCATTTATTTAAAGATAACCGATTATAATTAGGTATTTTTGTATACTTAGAAGTAGGATCTAGTGAGGATAAGTTAGTCGTGAAGCTACTACTACCTGTTCCAATAACTAGATCCTGCAAAGAAGAAGAAGAAACAAGTTATCACCCTTTCATGACTCAGCTTCCTTAAGCTTCTCATAACTCTTAGATGTTGCTTCTTTAAAGTACCAAAAGTAAACAACTATTTGTTCTCTAAAAATTGAAATAAACCTATGAAAAATTTAAGGACTTTTATTTCCTTGTCCACTTGTCGCGAAACGCTTTCTGTGTCAAGGAATTAATGATAACTTCACACATCTCACACACGGCAGTCTGATCTCAAACTAGGCAGAATCTGTTCCATGGTAACTATACTGCTGATAAACACACTTATATATTTCTAAATGCATACAGATTATAGATAAATAACACCCAGACATAGAACAAATGATCGTGCTCATCGTACAATTATTTGTCCTGGGTGGGAATCGAACCCACGTCATCCACCTTAGCAGCCAAGGTCACTAACCACTAGACCAACAGGCCAGTCCTAATTTGATAGGGTTTGGTGTTCAATGTTCGAGTATTTTCTGGCAAATTCTAATGTCATTTCCCTCTGACATTGAGACGTTGTGTCTAGGTACATCTGCTGTGGTACTTTACGATGCCATTTACTCTAGAATGACACCTATTAGAATATATCTTATACGTCCTTCCCAGTTGTAACAGTTAATAACGTACTCTGATAAAATGGTCACGCAGGCATTAATCGTTATTGTAACATGATAAAGTAAAGGATTAATTAGTTTGATACAATTCTTATTCGATTAGATTGCATTGAAAGCTCAGTGATCTTTATCTCATCTTTCCACTGCTGTTTTGAAGATTTACGCTAGGAAAAAAGTACGTTTGTAAAGAAGAGTTCAAATATGAATTTGCCTATGTGAAATGTTTTTATATTTATAGTTACACATGGTTATGAGGAATCACCATTTACAAAATACTTTAATACTTTAATAGGTAGTACAAGTTTGGGTTGACCAAACAAACCAAATACAACAAGAATTCTGACGAAACGAAGTCCTAATAATGCAGTAGTAGATAAAAAAGAATCACTAGAAATTGAAAGGTTTTCAGTTCCAGTGAATGAAAAATTAAATGTTTGAAAAGGTTAAGATGTCGAAAAGTTAAACTAATAAAACACCTGTGATCTCCTAATTGTCTCGGTGTGGATAAAAATATTTAAAATTGCCTATGGTTTTAACTACAGCCATATATTCATCCGGTTCCAAAATCTGATAAATCAAAAGTATATTTTTCAAATAACTAATAGAAGGGGAACTAATCTTGACAAAATATAGAACTACAGAACTACATACGTAGTTAGATAATAATCAATTCTATATGATAATAATTTTTAATTGCATTCAACGTAGAGCAACTCGCATCGTCTAATGTCAGGAAATGTTAGATCGGCCACACGCCTTTGTGTTGCTACGAGATATAACTTCCCTCTACATTCTTTATGGCTTGTCATATAGAGTTGATTCGAATTTATAATAGCCGCATTTTTTTAAATTTTCAACAGAAAAAAACTTAAATCTCTGTCACTTAGGACTTCTGTACCGTCATTACCATAAAACCTTCAAGAAAAGAGTGTTCTCTTGACTGTACTTTGGGTGGAATTAGTCACTCACCATCAGTTTTACCGTCTACCCATTAGCCCCACGTTTATCATTTAAAAAAAAGTGTCAATACTCTAAGGAAAGTTTTGCAAGTTGGTTCATTAGATTACTATTGACACATTAAATATAATATGGATGGGTGATAGGGATAACCTTGTAAAAAGAAGTTTATGACACATTTATGTTCTTTGTACAATTGCTGTTTATGACGATATGAGGAAGTCCGTCTGATAGGTACCTACGCAGAAGGCAAAACACCTAATGCTTTTATTTATTTCTAAAAGGCACGCTTACTGATTACCGCCATTCCAGGTTACAGGAAATATTAGGAGACAAGTACATATTAAGTCTAGACAATGATCCAAATGTAGTATACACAACATGAAAAGGCAAAATACAAGGCATGTGATAAATACAAATACTTGCCACGTTTAATTATCAATCGCTTTAATCGCTTAAATTGTATTTTTCGTAATAGTCTATGCTTAAAGAAGTTTATTTTATCTTCTTTCCTGTTTGCTCGACTTCTCACAATGCTCAACTACAAATTTGAAAACGGGCGGTCATAGACGGGCCTGTTGATCTAGTGGTTAGGGAATCTGACTGCTAAACCGGAGGTCGTGGGTTCGATTCCCACCCAGGACAAATTATTGTGTGATGATCATGATTATTGGTTCTGTGTCTGGGTGTAATTTATCTAAAATATGTATGTAGTTAGAAATATATAAGTATGTTTATCAGCAGTCCGGTTACCATAGCAAAGGCTCTGCCTAGTTTGGCATACTAAACGTAAAATTTAAATGAAAATAAAAAGACTCAAGATCAACATACTATGTGTTAGTCGTATTCAAATTCGTATGAAAGTGTTTTGAAAAATAACAAACAAATAAGTGGGAACAATCACATTATTGTACCTCTCATCTGTCTTTATATATCAGCACTATAGAATTAATCCAGAAACAAGTCATCACACAAATATTTTAAAATATTGAATGAATAAAGCAGTGCTTCGAAATACCAAGAAGTAGTTTGTTGCGAAATTATAATAAAAGGCGCCATTATTTATTTGTGTTACAATAATGAAGAATATATATTTATTTAACTCACTACACAACACTCAAAACTTGCATATTTTACATTTGATTTTTTAACTTTTTTCTTTATCACATCACATTCACAATTTTAGGATTCAATCCTTGTCTATTGTAATTTATAATTAAAATTACTAAATAAATATATGATTTAAACATCTTCCTTATTTATTTTTAATTAACCTGTATTTTACTGTATACAAAAGAACACATTTTCTTTATCTGTGCCTCCTTGCACACACACATTATTTTTAAACTCCACAAAGGACACACATTTACGCGTCACAAAGATACGTCCGCGCACGGTCTCTGTACGGCTTGTTAACATTGTCACTACTCTACTCAACCGACATGGGTTAATCAAAATCCGGCCCCTATTAACCAATGATGTATCATTCCTTAATAACTACAAAAAGGTCATTTCCCAGGCCCGTTTCATTAAAAATAGTCAATTTGGTCAAGTTAGCCAGAGAGAGTTAACAATTTGTTAAAATTAATCGTTAAAGCATACAAAAAAAAATATATACTTATAATTATATAAGCGGCACATTCTCGTACAACTCAAAATAGTGAATATAGTTTTTGTTCTAAGTATTTGAATACATTATAAATATCACTAAAATGTTGTACAGCAGTAGGTACATAAGGTAATGAGCTTTCTTTCTTCATACTAAGAAGAGGGCCGTGCCCAGCAATCCGATAGCAGCTACTTAGTGTCTTTTTCGATACGATAAACGTACGTAAGAACAATTATTTTACCTCTTGACTGGCGATAGCCAATTCCTTCATTTATGTTTGCTAAATATTTCTACTATTCCGTTTCGCGGTATTCCTGTGGGCATTTTCTATGATAATTGATTTCTTATCACATTTAGTCACCAATCACGCAATTAGATTCAGTATGCGTAAACTAAGACTATGCGAGTGTCATGTAGAGGTCTAAATTGGTCTTTATATGCAAAAAAACTGGTTTAGTTTTAACCTCACATGTGATGACTAAATAAGTAAGTCCGTAATCATAAAACTCTAAAACTAAATTATTTTTAAAGATTTAAACTATTGTAAAAGAAAGAAGGAAAGATTAGGTAAGTTAATAATTATTGTGAACGAGAAATTATTATTCGTAGTTGTGAATGAAATACTTGCAAAACGCTTAACTAAAATAACGAATTAAAAGAAGTATAACAATATTTGATTAAATACACATATGTATACATTGCATAGATTATTAATAAGGTATGGATGAGTGATGGGAGAGGATCAGTGAGCAAAGACGCACGTTGAAAGACTAAAAATACACTTAAACTGAAAATGCTCAGTATTTTATAGGAGGCGCTAAGACAAAAAGGCAGCCAACATTAAAGTACTGTAAAGTGAGTCTTAGAGCTTTAGGCTCAGAATACATGTTGGGTAACATTGTTGACCCAAATAGTTTATCTATATATTCTCACTTACTACAGTTATTTCGTTAATTTATAAGTCATTTAGTTAAAGTCTTAATAAAAACTCGTTTGTGTCGAAGGAAATATAAAACCGAGTGAGATTGAGGATCACTGTATTTTATAGATCAGGTCATTAAGATAAATAAATGTAGCTTTAAGGTTAAGAAGTCATAGTGGAAATATCACAAAGTGATTGATTTCTGAGGACAGCATTCTGACATCTTCAATATTTTTTTATTGTAATAAGAGTCGTTAATCAGTATATTTTTATTTACATTCCGGTTTGACAATGGTTAGTACCTTAGACTGAGAGCTCCCAGTGTTTCTCCGTATCTTTTTCACTGCAGAAAAGTCTCGAACTAGCTTTTTTTTTTTATAGCAGAAGCACTGGTCTCGTTGAAACTCGAAATCTCGGTATTATAATTTTACAGCATTAGGTGTGGACCATGTGGTCTCGCAAAAGATGATGACAATACACCAGATCGAATGTCTTCTTTTGTCTTATGTTATAACCGATTCTCCGGGAATCCCACGCCTTCCATTTCCGAAACGGAGGATATGCTGCGAAAAGCAATCCCCGTGAGAAAATGTAAAAAGACAAACGAGCAGATAGGTCACAAGTGAGTTGCCCACCTTGAGTGCCTCCTTCCCATAAGTTAGGTTACCCCTACTCGCTTGGGTTGAGCCGGTAATCTCACTCGCTCGGTGAAAAAAACGAAAAATAACCACATTGGTTTTCTATCAATGCATATGTGTCGAAGCATGTCTTTTCTACGTTTGTCTCAAATAAGGTAGGTAAGGTAGGTAAGTCTCAAACGGGTTATAAACAATGATCTAGTCGATGTTTATTGTGAAAATCAATGTTTTCATTGGCATTGTATCTTACACGGTGTAAATATTCGCACCAGAAATAAAAAGTTAAACAAAAGTAAAACTAACTATCATTTACTACATACTCGTATAAATAAATAACATATCTAAGCTTTGACTTGTTCTTGTTCATACACCTTTTGTTGCCTTGATGTGATGTACTTCTCGAGAGTCCAAGATAACGCTGTCAACCACGTGAAGATATTGAGGCAATACAAAGTTACTATTGGCGAAGAATTGCCTTTAATCCAACCTGCACAAATACAAACAGAATATTTAAAAACTTCAATTCATTGAAATTGAGGCAAACCTAGAATTATTAAGAACTTGGTAATAAATTCAATTTCGTCACATACGTGAATACAATTTCTTGAATCACTCTCCTGCTTAGATCATCCAATCATTTCTCACGTAATAAGCAAAGTAGGAACTATTTAAAACTTGGTCAGATCAGTATAAAATCTCTTATAAACCAATTAATGAATCTAATTCTGAAGTATAATACTTACCAACTACAGGTCCGAGAGAAAGGAAAACGATTCCTGCAGTGAGAAGCTGTATGCCAGTGGCTCCAGGTAGTTTGTGTAGTGGCACATACGTGGGTAAGACTAAAGCTACGAAAACTGTACGTAATCCTTTCCCAAACCCAATAATTACAGCGACCAATAATACTGCATAATATGATTGGCAGTGCGCTAAAACTGTAACAAGAGATTTCATTACTGTTTTAAAAAGTATACATATAGACATTGAAATAACAAGGACAAAGATCACCAAGACCTCCAAACAACCAAACTCAAGACAAGTGTTGGTGGATCACAAAAGGGTTCTGTGAAAATTGTGAAAATTGAATCAACAACACTAGGTGTGTTTTTATAGTAAGGCAACAACTAAAACCATTGTGTAATGCTTGTAATAAGTATCCAAGTTTCAATTTTAGGTTCGAGTCGAGTAGAGGTGTTTTTATGGTGGCAAACAAGGAGACGGGTCATCTAATAATAAGTGAGTACCACTGCCCATGAACACCTGCAACTCTAGAGTGACAGCTGCATTGTGGGTCTTGGGGTGCTCCCGTCGGGATGGTCGCGGGAGAGGGGGGAGGGGGAGGGCTTATATACTCTGGTAACCGGTAACTAATTCGGTTAAATGCTTGGAAAAAATTGCCGATGCCCGGTCGGGTTACCGAAAAAATTGGTACATTGGTACATAAGTACAATACACATAAATAGAAACATAAGTAGGACAGCGGGATCTTATAGACATTCACTCATGCCTCAGAATAGATAGGCAAAGATAAGATACAGACATGATTCTACCATAATGAGGTTCCACTCACGTAACACAAACAGGGAGCAACCCTAATCCTCGAGCAGGGCATTCTTTTTTTTTTGAAATTTTGTAAATTGGAATGTTATAAAGGAACTTATGTATGTAAGAATTAAGATGAAGGGATATTGCTTATACGGACGGATTAGAAAGTGTAGGCAATAACTCGAGCAGGTAAGGCTCGTATATCTGTAACTCGGGCTGGCTTTTGCTGAGTAGTCTGCTTAGTTTTATTTTAAATCCTTAATTTTCAACTTAAACAAAACTTATCTAAATCATATATTAACTCAAAGAAAGCAAGAAAACTACGGTAAATTAGTAGTTGAGTAGTCGATTTTCTCCAAAAGGGTCTTTAAAAATATGCAACTTCCACTGCGGATAATACGATATCTCAAATTAAACTTTTCTAAAATTAATTAAATGTTAGTATACTAACCTATTCTTCCTAAAGACATAACAAAAACTCCCAGTAAATAGAAGGAATTGTTATCCCATCCAATCTTACCAGCAACAAATGGCACACAGAACCTTACACTAAGATCAACTCCACCCAACAGGGACATGAATAAGGCCACCTCTGCCTTTGATTTCCCGAAGTCACCCAGAATAAAAGGCGTCAAAATTGAAAAGTTGGTTTCATTGAAATTTGCTAATGTCACACCCAACATTAGATTAACGAAAGTGTAATCTCTTAATAGATCTAGGTCAAAAAACATTGCAACTTTTTGACAGAATGTCAGTTTTATGTCTTCTTCTTCTTCATTTTTATTGGGGTTTACAATGTCTTTTTCATTATCATTATCATCAACGTAAGATGTCAGTAACTTAATTTTATTAGTGTTGTCTTCATTTTCTTGTAAATATTGTTCTAATTTCTTTGACGCTTGTTTTAATACTTCGTTTTCGTAATTAAAATTATTTGACTTGAGTCTGTATCTGTTCCGATAAGATTGATTGCTATGGGTGTTTTTTAAATATTCTTTATCCTCGTTTTCTTGATATTTGTTGTAGACATAATTTTCGTTACCTTTACCAATTTCAAAATTGCTGACTATAATATTCTTTTCATTTCTATCAGTAATAAAATTAGGTTCAGCTGTATCAATCTTCTCTATAACAGCTTTTTCATCAGCTTTCAAATCTTGAGGAGCTTTCAAAGTCGGACAGTCTTCTATTTCAGATTCAGGAATTTTCATTTCTAGCGTGGTAGAAGCTTTACGTTTTGGTTTAAGAGCGTCACGTTCTAGAACTAAGGCTCCTAAATTAGCTGCAGAGTTTTTTTTTGATTCATTCAAGTACAATGTCGACGATTTGCGAGAACGATTTTCAAGCAAGTTTGTCATTGATGATTTCTTAGACTGAAGTCGGGAATTTAATTGTGAATTCCTTGTAGAATCTTCTCTTGAAGGCACCTTGCTTTTTGATTGTATTGACTGACTGAAATACCCATCGTTAGAACGTAACATCATGGGTATTCCAGGGTCCGTAATTTCATACCCGGGATTCTCCGGATCATCTTCATTAAAAAGATATTGGCTTGAAAATACGCTTAAATTCTTAAACTTCGAGAGTTGGCTAAAATACCCATTTTCTTGTTTACTAATAGTCACTTTAGAATCTATGTGTTTTAAAAGCTTTTCCTGATCTTCATCGTCGTGACTGTTAGGTTTTTTCGCATGCCATTCAACAGGTTGCAACAATAAACCACACACTAAAGCGTGTAAAGACACACCACTTATGATTAAAATGGCGCCAGTTTCTCCATATAATGAAAATAATGCAGTTATAACATGTGGCCATATAACTGGACCCAATCCGGTTGCCGTCCACGATAGACCCGTAGCTAATCTTCTTCTATTTTTCCAATAAGTATTCAGGGCGAGTGCATTTGCTGAACTACTTATACCAAGGCCAGCACCTGAAATAAAAACCGATTTCTTTGGTAAGATTTTGAGACTCGTAAGATGCTTGACAAGGAAAGCTGTTTGTAGTCTATCAACTACCGGGAGTTATGTCTCTTTACTTTGCTAAGACGCAAGAGGCCATACTTAAATGATTTCAATTTCTTTACGCACCGTTTTTTGTATACAGTTGTTAAGTAAGTATTGATACAGTTGATATATAACACAAATAGGTTGTTTACGTGAGCATCGAACCCAATCCATGGACGTAATGGCAGTTTGCAATTTAATATTGAAACTTCCTCCGTGGTTTTATGATATCTAGAAAAGACACCTTAAAAGAGAAAGTTAAAAAGCAAAACCTTTATCTGAATATCCTAATCGTTAGAGCCATTCCTGTTCAATCTTTATGTACAAGAATTGTTCATTTAGTTATTAAAAAAGTCTGATAAAGAATACTTTGATTGAATTGATTGAATTGAATGATTCTCACCATATAAAATTGAAAATGAAACCAGATATGTCGCGAAGTTGTAAGAGAACGTGGCTAGCATTACACCCACGAACCCAATTATTGCACCGGTTAAAGACACTTGTCTGTAGGTAAAGATTTTGAACAAGGGCCCATTTGCTAATCCTGAAACAAACATTGACAAAGTCACCTTATGAACGTTTAGCCTTGCTTTACATTACATCCATAAAATCAGATAGGATAAAACTTTTATAGAAAGTCATACGAAATAGACCTTATTATATTTAATATATTATCTATTTCTAAATAAAGGGTGTCGATAATCTGTTTATAGATAGACAGTCTATGAAAAAATTACTTATGAAACTGTCATACTAAAGATATGTAATACTACATAGGGGATTACCCAATCTTCTATCTGTCCTGACCTGACAACTACGAGGAAATTAGATACTAAACTTATGCACTACTATAATAATGGTATCAACAATTTTAGACGAAACGAATACTATGTTCACTTTGTAGGTATAGCTCAAGATAATGCATGTACCATTATATTGAGCTTCTGAACATGCAGATTATTTATATAATAATCTGAAGATTTAACTAAAAAGTCGCTTGTCACGTATTTTTACTGAAAAGCTCTAACTTATTTTAAGTGCACACGAGAGAAGGAAATTGGTTATCCAAATACTTTAGGATGACAATACAAGTTGAGTCGGCTATAAATCAACTTTAAAAGAACAATGGCGAATTTGTGGTTGAGTATAATTTGAGCGTCTTAAATAGTCAATAAAACCCCAGGCAAAGAAAGAAAATACTATAATTTGATTATTTTAATTTCCCTTATCAGTTTAGTGTTACCATTTTACAGCCATTTCTTCAAGTAGTGGAAATACTGTCCACTAAAGTGTCGTAATATGGTAATCACTAAATAGTAATATGGTAATCAGATAAAATTTTATAATTCTAAGTATTGAATTCTTTCTTTCTTTTTCTTTTTATACAACTCCCGCACTAGGAATATATCCTGTGTCGCGGGGGACTTTACAAACATTCATGAAACGGACACAAAGAACACCCAGACTCAGGACAACAATTTGTGTATCACACAAAGTGTCGTCCCATGTGGGGATCGAACCCACAACACTCAGCGCAGTAGTAAGCGGCGTGGCGACCTCTTAAACCACTACGCCATCCGTGCAGTCAAATTAATAAAGTCAATTAATAAAGAAGGTAGTTTTTGTAACGTAAAAAATGTAGTTTTTGTAACGTAAAGAATGTAGTTTTGTTTTTGTAACGGTTTTTGACAACTCTTGATAGATCAAGGGTTTTTGACAACTCTTATTATATTAGTTTAGGTTTAGAATTTACAATTCAGTACATGTTGAAATAGGTAATAAATTAAGGAAGAGGAATATACTTATTGGATATTATAAATGTAGATGTACATAAGTAATAATAATAATAATAATATAAGAATAATAATAATAATAATAATATAATAATAGTATAAGATCATCATTTCATGCGTCAGACACATTAAAAGTGACATAAAAATATAACCTACGAAAGTTTAACAGCTAGAGGACTATAATAATTTTTATTTTTATTTTATTTAAATGGCACAAACACTGTTATAAATATCAAATAATTATGACAACAGTACAAAAACCAATTTGAAAAGTCGGTAGCCATAGACAAATTGATAAAATAAAGGAAACATTATGCAGCTATGTTATAAAAGACTCTTTTATCTGTAGACTCTTTTAAAAAGAGTCCACAGATAAAAAAATATGCACTGAGTAACTAAAAAAATCAAATGCTAATATCTTTGATTCTAAAAAATAAACAATTTTTTTATATTTTTTTCACTACAAGACGATGCAATTTGCTTTCAAATATTTTTTTTGTATAGAGACCCGCCATTGCTCTTTTAATTGTTACCTCTATAATGCCGATGTCTTTTAAATTGTTTACATATTTTCAGTTCAACGACTATCATTATGATGATACATATTTACGAAGCAGCAGTTAGCCTAATCCTTGTGAACATATTACCGTCCTTTGTGACATCTACATCTAACACTATGTCCTCCAAACTAAATAATGGACTTTAACACGGTAAGTAGTTGCTGTTGCATATTATTGTAATGAGCAGTTTTAACGTAATGACAGCTAATTTAGAGGCAGCCGGTATGGTATCGGAACGTTACCATGCGAGGCGCGTCACGCACCGACGCAAGAGAACAGGGCCGAGTTCATGTTGATTATTGTGGTGGTCTCCGAGCTCGTGATGCCAAGATTCGCGAACTTGTCACGGAATAACAACCCGAACTGCTGAAGAACGGGGAGCATCGATAACTGTAATTAAAATTCAAATTAATGTACAAATCCATAAATAACTAAAAGTAATTAGAGAAAATGGAAGAATAGTTTAAGAAAGTGTAACAGGATTCATTGTAATATAGTTTCAAGTTTCAAGACTTCAAGAAAAGGCAACTGTCGCAGTTGTGATGCACTTAGGGGATTTAAGTGCATAACAACTTCAGCGGTTGTCTTGCAAAAGATGTATGTCGTTATATTCTTAGAAGTGCCTCCAGAAGTTGACAAACACATCGACCAAATATCTGATGATATTTTTCTTTTCATCTGCCTGTACCCTTTGTTGCATATTTAACGGCGCAAAACCGTGAACAAAATAGACTGGATCAGTATGGCTTGTTATAGTACGCAATATGTTTTCATCTTGGCGCTACAAGGGTGACAAGTAGTCATACTGTACAAATATTATCTTATATTTTTCATTCTATTCTAAATAGGTTACAGTGCTCATTTTTCAACTAGCTTCTGATAAAACCTTAAAAAAACAGGATTAAAACAAAATCTGGATGCCGAAGATATCACTTCAGTCACTTCAGGTTAGGGTTTCGTAACGTACGAGGTCCTTATTTCACCCACTTTCCTTTTGAACAGAGGATGCACATCATAAACAGCTTTTTTTTCAAGAAATCGAACGACAGTCACCTGATTACATTACTCACAATCAGAGACTCCATTTAGACATCTGATAGTGTGTTATCACGATCCAAAGAGATAAAGTGTTTTGCAATAAAATAATATAGGTACCGACATTTCGAAAAGTATTTATGACAATAGTGGTCCTTTCCTTGATTTCAAGATCTCAGGAATTGAAAACCTCACTCACTTATAGGTAGTTCATTAAACAATTTTTGTAATCAGGGGAAATGAAAATGCGAAATAAATATTGAAAATCAATTAGGTAATTAGAAAACTTCATTTTCATCATCCATCGATTAAGCACTTCAATACCATTCATTTCTAAGTACGTTTAATCTTCATTATTATAATATATTCATAGGGGCTAGCATAAACATATGTCTGTCTGTCTGTTTTTACAGACGTTTAATTTGATTTAAAATGCATAAACATGGTTGTATATTATTTACCGTATTATTTAGAAGAATGGTAACAGCAAAGCCAAAATCTTAGCCAAAAAAAGCGCCAACGTTTTCTTTCTCTCATAAGGAGTTCTTATATTTCTCGCTAGTTATTTTATTTTATTGACCAGGCCATCAAAAGATTAGTTTTACCGTTCAAAAAAGCGTTCGGATCACGATAAGGCCACTAGAATTCATTGTAATCAGTGTATTGTTTACTTTCGGGTCAGCTTTGCGTTAAAAATGAATAAAAGATATTTATGTACATCAGATTAAACGCAAGTGTATAATATTCTATTTCAAGCTTTATTATTAATGCTTTAACTTTCTCTTTATATAAGCCACTATCATCATCTCGAATATTTAATAAAAACTAAGTACATACTGTTAATTGTATACTTAGGACAATATAGCGAATAAAAATTTGGCTGTTTACTTATAATATGTAGAAAAATAACGGCTTAGCTTTTTTTGTTTTCTACGTACTTTTAAAATATTTAATTCTACGCAAACAGCAACGACACATTGATGAAGCGTTGGGTATTTTATCTCAGAGAGTACAACTTTCATATGTTAGGAAAGTCATATTATCGAGAAGTACGTGTAAAAATATAAAGTACATTAACTAATTTTCTATCGATATTAATCCTGTTATATAGATTAGAAAGTATATATCACTATGAAGTAAAATATTAATCATCAAGTATTATAAATATTTACTTTAAAAATGTAGTGATTCACGAAAAGGTATTCGTAATCTATCTCGTGAGTCATGGGCATATAAACCAATTAATTGTCAATTTTTTATTATTATTTGATGACAGAAAACAATGTCTAGAGATTCAAATCTTCTAACGTTTTTATGAAAAAAAGGCAACTGTTACTTATAAATTAGAAATAGGTATATTGTTTACTCACATTTGAAATCCCTGCTGCAAGAATAATCATCCAACCCCATCCACCATCGGGAGGTATAAAATCACTCTCCTTTTTTAAATTGGAATTAATTTTCTCCTTAGTTTCCGTCATTTTGTGAAATCAAATAAAATAAAAATATTTAAAAGAGAAACCCACTCTTATTTCTGGCTACGTAATTTGGGTTGTACTACACTGAACTGATATTTATTTGTAATGATTAGCGAACTTCGATATAATACGGTAAATTAATCAAACCAGGCCATTTATTTCCTGGAACAAAGAGACTTGTTCACTATGCAAACATCCTAACGCAAATGACAAAAGCTACTCATTGTGCGCATGAATCCGTTGGTGTTATCTACGTACGGGCTGTATTAAATCTCTGTTATTATAATACATGCACTCGAGATAGCTGGTAGAGATGTCAGGGTTCCATAGTAAACAAGGAACCTATATGGTTTGAACTATGCCTGTCCCTAATTTCGTCTCTCCGCAATTTAGCTCAGATACTAATTCTAGAAATGTGTATTTTTTTTACACCTGAAGTACTGGAAGTGCCTTAATTATTTACCTTATTTTGGAACGAAGTTCCTTATCGCGCGTTACACGCTCTGAGCGGATGGGAGCGCGACCGAAAAATGTGTAACAAGACTTTTTGCCTACACTTCAGTTCGCAGTTTTCATATTTTGTATATTTGGCAAACGTCTACAAAAAAAGCGAAAGGAACTTCGTTCCGACTGGGGGTCCGTAGACCTTCACGCCGTTTTATTATTTTCTTTTCATCCTAAAGTTTTTTCTCATGGGTGAGGTGTCGTTAGATATATCTTTGGATATCGCGAAACTTTTGATTTGTAACTTTATTTGCAAGAAATCAAGACACTAACTGCTATTTTTTGTTAAAATTAATAGAGAAGTCTGTAACGGCTCTAGCTTATTTATCAAAAATTAATATTAAATAAATCACAAGGGAACGTTACAAGTTAATTACACCAAAAAGTTAAGTTATAACTCGACCAACTTATCAAAAATTATATATATCTACTTATTTATAGAAATAAAAAGTTCAACATCGTAGAATTCTATTTAAAATACTTAAATCATTAACATAGCATACAAACATACACATCCTCTCTTATTCTATTGTTTAACCAACTTCAAAAAGTAGGAGGTTATCAATTCGAACAAACATTAAAAAAGTATAAGTAAACAGTCATACTTTTTTTTGTTTGTTCTGACATAACTCCGTCATATATAGACGATTTTTTCTTTTCTTGTTCAAAAGGGATTTATTCGAAATGGTCCCATTCAAATTTCATAGAGATCTGATGAGTTTCGAAGACAGACAACTGAACTCTCCAAAAATGACAGCAAATCAACCGCGATTGCTGCTAGGTTTTTAGTGTTCTTTGTTGTTAGCATTGTTTTAAGTCGGTTTAACATTAAAAAAAGGGGTTTACATTATATTGTTTTAACATCTTTAAATCAACATTAAATATGAATTATCCTTGCAATATAATGCTAGAGGGAATTGTTCAATTGAAATTTAGTATCGCTACAAAGATCTTTGTGACAAGATATAATTCATTGCTACGAGCAGAGGGCAGACGGGTTACCCGATGGAAAGTGACCATCGCCGCCCATTAACGTCTGAAACTCAGGAGTCATAAACGCATTGCCGGAATGATGAAATTAATGTAAATATTTAGGAAAACTAAACATAAATTACGTAGATCCTCGAATTTTGTGGAAATTGTTGGTAAAATTCGGCGGTTCAAAAGTCAAACAACATATTTTTGATTAGAAATACTTAGTACAAAGTGTGTTGTTGTGAAATCTGGAAAACAACCAACTTTTATCATAATTAACAAAAAAACCTATGTTTGCCTATGTTGCCTTCTATTTATCAAAAATAATTCAACTACGATGACCCGAATATTTTTTTAAAACCTACCGGCATAGATGAGATCCAAGCAGCCACAGTATTAATCACATCATTTACGTCTAACAATGACTGCCAACGTTGATGCAGCAGGCTCAGTGAACAAATCGACGAACAAATGGTTCTATTTTACTAATGTAGAATAGTATCTCACAAGTCTTGGTTACGATATAAATAAACAACCACGTTGTCATGTCATGTCAAATTATTTAGTTCCCTCAGAAAATCGTTTTTCCATAATTTAAATATTTTTTGTAAATTATGATACTTATGTAGTGAAATCAATCGAAATATTGCCGCCGAATTACCTCTGAAATATACTCGTACAGTCGTACTACTTCCTACACTATAACAAAAGGAAATTAAAGAAAAACAAACTAGACTCTATTAAAGCTCTTGACTTTCCTCGGCGATGTACGGTTTTTATTATCAGATTAAATCTTATAAAATTAAAAGAGACATTTTCAAAATCTTAAACTTAAGACACAGCTAATACGGCAACGATACCAAAAGTGGTCATTCCGCTTTCCCATACAATCCCTTAAGTGTTCGATTAGTCCCCTATTACGTAAGTGCTACTAAAATGATAGTTGTGCAAATCTGGGCATTTTATACGCCTGTACCTACCCTTTCGGGGATATAGGCGTGTGTGTATATGTATAATATAATACATATATTTCAAATTATCAATTATGGAACCCACCTTGCACTTGGCTATTTTTTATAATCTCGGGTGACTCCAATTTTATTCGAGTTCCTCTGTATCCCTTACAGAATTTTCAAACGTGAAAATATCATTATCCTATAAATTTCTTTTATATATTTATTATCTTTTATCATGCCTTCGTCTTACACCACAAAAAAAAACTTTTAGTCTGAGGCCTTTACATAATTCGAGTCAAATATCGCTTGGCATAAAATTCATAATACATAGTAGGTACAGCCCGTACAGGCCGTACCTATAATATAAGACTTACTCCTGCAAGTTATTAAAATAAATAGCGGATCTCACTCAGACACAATAAAGCGTAATTAAGGTCGCAAAACATTAATTACCTACAATTATATTCGCCTAAAAGTTGTATCTCTTTCTATTACGTAACCCTTATCTCTTCTGACGACATTATTATTTTAAGGAATAATAAATCCGAATGTTTAATGGCTAGTAGGTTATTTACCTATTAGGTACTCTAATTCTGTGAACAAATAACACATCACATCAACATCCTTTAATGGTCCACTGCTGGACATAGGCCACGCCTTAGAAAGAAGGTTTTGGCCTACTATACCACGCTGGCCAGACGGGTTGATATAGGGTTTGTGTCAAGTTATCCTTCTTTTGCAGTGCTGTTATCCTGCGATGTTTCGCGCCCTTATTCGGCTTTAACGACACCCACGGGATGAATGAACGGACAGAACAAATAAAATTTGAAGTTAACTTCCATTGAATTTGAACCAACAAGTACCTACCACTTCAAAAAAAACCCCAGTGAGGTGACGTGATGACCCTTGAGAGTTTCCATTTGAAAAAAATTAACCATTAAAATTAAAGTTAAAATTACCAAAGAGTGTATGTATGCAGATGTTGATCAATGATCTAGTCACTACGAGTATACAGATTGGAATTAAGTCTTAATTAACTTAGATAATCTATTAATATAGACAGAGAACGACAAAACAAAATCTATGTTTTCTATTTGTTTAAACGATAATTGATATTAAGAGCTTTTTTTTTTAAACTTCAAGATTCAACAAATTCTTTACTCTGGTAATATCGGTTACCAGAGTAAAGAATTTGTTGAATCTTGAAGTTTACGTACTTACTACTTAGCGGAAAGTGTTAACAAACATGCCTATAATACGTGACAATTGTAACTTATTTTAAACTAAACAAATAAAAGTGGTCTACATATATAAAATTCGAGTGAAGTAAACTAATAAAGATAAATATTTTAAAATCAATATAAATATAAAACCTTAATAAATTTTATAGGAATAGATTAACAAAGTTTGCCGCTGTTCAGAGTTATAATTTCTTTTTAATTTTAGATACTTATCATTTTTTGTTTTAAAGACTTTTCTAAAGTAGATCTGTTGTGTTTTGTATTTTCTTTGGGCGTGGACACAAAGGCTATTCTCATAGTTGAGATTTAGAATTTAGTAAATTAGTAAAATTCATAAAAAGTGAAACATGCTCTTAAGAATAATCAGCAAATATAAAGAGACCAACAGCGGGTTCATCATTACCTTTTATGCTTAACAACGAATTACATATAATATTTACAAAATGAGTTGGATAGAAGTAGACTGACTGACTGACTGAAGATGACGTACACGGGTTGCATTCGTTTGTTTTTCCAGCATTTTTTCTTAAGTATCTGTAATACTGGTTATATTATAATGTATTAAATAAACTTTAATACACTAATTCAAATTAAATTGCACCCGTTTTTGATTTGAAATATTGCACTGACCACCCGACATTGAAGAAACGATGTATTTCTTTTTTAAACTTCATACTTCTTTTGTGCAAGCATTCTAATTAGGAAGGAATATCCAGAATTGACCAAAAACTAAATCTAGATGAAAGAGTTTCATCTTTACCATACCGAAGAGCTACGGTTGATGTTTGTGGCTGATTTTGTGGTTTATCGTTTGGGACGAATCCTCCACTACACTCTCTACTTATAAGAACGACACGCAAAGAAACATTGCAGATAACCAGCATAAATCAGAACCGTTTGATACGTCTGATGACGTCTCTTCATGATGATGATGATGGAAAAGACTATGAATATTTTTTTATTATGCGGGCGCTGTGTAAAACTTTGTATTGTATGTATATTTATCAGTTTATCATATCACGCAGTAATATAATTGTGAAACGCCTTGTGTCCCAATTACTATCAGCTATCGTCAGCATGACAATTTATGTAGGGTAAATATACATTGTGAATTAGAATTCTGGAAATTTTCTTTATGTATTTGGTGAGAGGTTTTGCTAGTTTAATTTCATTTGGAAACCCCCTAGGGTCATCACCTCATCGGGGTCTGTCACACTGCGCCTAAAATTGGAGAGATCCCGAAACAGATTTTATTAAGACATCCGGATCCCTCTTACCGCTTCCCTGCAAAAGAACGTACACTTCCGGTGTAAACTCGCGAGATGTT